ATTATCAACTCAAAATGTTTACTCTTTTAATTCTTGAAGACTCTTTAAACAAGTTATATTCATCTATTTAAAATAAACTAGAAAAAATAAAAGCTTACAAAGCTTTTATTTTTTCTAGTTTATTTTACAAAGAACATATTTTAATTACAATTGGAAGTTAAAAAGAAATTTGCGACGAGTGTAAAATGGGATAACATTGATCCAAGTTTTCCAAAATACTTAGACAACACATATATTCAAAATTAAGACACAAGACGTTTCAGAACGTTTTTAAGACGTCTTATATTCAGATAACATGTATGCTGTCTGGGCATTGTCAAAATTTGAGCTAAAATTACCCTATTTTATGATAATAGGTTTTATGTTGGAAGTAACTAACTACATTGTTAGTGCACCGTATCTTGATTTCTTATTCAAATATACTGTAAGAACAAAAAACATTATCTCAAGTACTTGTACATCCATTATGTTTCTATATATTCAGATGATAAATATGAAAACATTTTATTATTTTAGTATTTTATCGTATACCAAAAAGCTTTCAGACTATTTAATAATTCAAAGAGTTTTCTTCGAAGAGATAAAGTCTTACTTCGGTCTAAGCGGTACTTGGTACTTATCAATAATATTCATGTGTAAATTTTCAAATATATTTTTCAGTTCTATAAACTGTGAGTCGATTCAGTTTATTAATTAAACTTAAAACGCAGTTATAAACTAAAGTTGAAAATAATACAAATCATATTGTTCGTCAATCCAATAATAATAATAATAAGCATCTTGAAACATTGCAAAATTTTCAACGAATTGAATCGGCGCGTAATTTATAAAACTGAAAAATATATTTATAAATTTACATATAAATATTATAAACATCTGCTTCAAATGAATATAAAATTCTTTCTTTTATTTATGTTCTTATCGTATGTTCGTATCGTGTTATTCACTTATCAGTCCATTTTCCACTTAATATTGTTTGTTCAGAAAGCTTTCATATCATTGTCAAGACAAACCGCCGTCTCATTTTTGAGATAAAAGTTTTATTTATTGCTTCTCGTCATACGCTTCACCAAACTATAAAAGCACCTTCATATACCATACTCTAAAGTTTCGATGTTCTTGAAAGATCTTGCACGGTGCGTCTCAAGATCGAGAGGCTGAAAGGATGATTAACATTGTTGTTTTTTCTTCATCACACAAAAAATTAACAAAGATTTACTGGAAGGATTTACTTCAATCACACACCGTGTTACGAATATTATACATATTTTCCGTATTATACATATTTTTGGTTGTGGTGTTACTCCTGACAATAGTATTCAATACATTTGTGAATGTATATGTAACGAAGACGTCAGTGACTCCTGTTCTGATAATGCAAGAAGTTTTACCTAACGACCCTCGTTTGTACGCGGACTGTCAATCGAGTTTTCTACCGAAGATCATTGAAAAGGAAGAAGATAAGTTAATTCAAAGCAAATCGCACAAAGATCAAGACTCGACGATAGAAATGCAAAAGAAAACGTACTTGGAAGTTCCTCCCAAAGTGAAAATATTTTTGCTCAATGAAGGAAATTATTCACCAAAAGTAATCGATCAGCCCACTTCTTATACGGATCATAAACTCAAAACCAATATCATTGAATCAACTGAAGCTCACAAATTCGAGATTAATACAACAAAACCAAACGAAAATAAAAAATCCGAAATCAATATCACTGAAATAACCGAAAATCGCAAACTCAAGATTAATACCACTGAACTAATCAAAGATCATAAACAATCTTCGCTATCTTTCAATTTGTCGTCTACCTTTGAAAAGTTGAATAAGTTTCGTGATTTAGATGTCAGCAAAACGTACTTGAAAGTTCCTTCCAAAGTGAAAATATCTTTGCTCAATGAGAGAAATCATTCATCGAAAATAATCGATCAGTCTACTTCTTATACGGATCATAAATCCAAAATCAATACTATTGAATCAATTGACAATCGATTCGATGACGCCAGTACATTTCTCAATGTATTAATACATGAACGTCCTACAGATTACTTTACAACCTTGAATATACCCTTAATAGATCTCTTATTGCCAGAAGGATTTAATATGTCTGACAAATTTTGGAAGAAAGAAGAATATTCAAAAGATTTGAAGGATCCCTGCGATAAAGCAAAAGAGACGACCGTCCTTCGATTTCAACTTAACATTATAGAAAATATTAACTATTCGAAAGTAATTGATGAAGTAGACGCATGCTTGAAAGATCTGGAGCTTCGTATTAACAATCAACGATAGACAAACCCAAAGGCCATGGCACTTGATACTGCAAATACTCCAAAGTATTTTTTAATTAATAGTCTATTAATAAAATTCTTTCTTTCGATTGGTCAATTAATTACTTCGAAACATTTATAATGTCGCATCTACGCTGAGAATCAACCAAAGATTACTCGAGAGTAATTAAATTCTAACTAACTGAAGATCACAAACAATCTCTATTTTTCGATTTGACGCTCAAAGGTGCACGAAAAGTAAAAATGTTAAATAAGTTTCTTAAGCCATTAGATATGGATACATATTTATCAATATATTATTAATAAATAAATGTACTAATTTTATTTTAAGGTCCTCCAAAATGGCTTTAGCAGATCTTTCGTTGCCGGAAGAATTTCATAACTTTGAAAAATTCTGGAAGAAAGAAGAGTATTGGAAAAATTTAAAAGGTTCAGAAGATTCGGAGGATAAGATTCTCTATGATAAAGTAAGAAGGACGAGCGTTTCCAAGTTTAAAGCTTACGTTGTATTAAATTGGAATTATTCGGAAATAATTGATGAAATAGAAGTAAGATCTGCTTCTTATTAAACAATTAACATACAAAAATTGAACAAAAACTATGTGTATATAATCGGTCTAATCCAATGTCGATCATGAAATCGACCACGGCATCAACGTTAAAGAATAATTAAAAAAAAAACCTTCTGGTAATTGCTAAATCTAAAAATAAAAATAAGACTATGTGCAGCCGTAGAATGAGATCGCGTGCATTTCACGCATTGTATTTGTGCGAAAATTAATTCGTCAAGATATTATGGTAGAACTAACCGCAGGAATTAGCTCAATGTAGATAAATTTTGATTTACTTATCTTAATTAATTGTTTCCTACTTTATCTTATTCGGCAGAAGTAATTAGGTTCTAGATTACTTGTTCTTTTTCATATCGAAATAGATAAGAAAAAGAACAAGTAATGTAGAACCTTTTCATTATTTTGCAGAATCGGTGCATCAATTTTCTATTAATAAGGTTTGTTTCTGTAATTATATTAACTTTCTAATATCTTTAAGGTTGTATTAAGTGTAAAGTCTTTCTACAAAAAGTGACTGGAATGGGAAATTTATACTTTCTGTATAAAAACAAATATTATATACACCTGAAATAATTTAATAAAATTCATTATTTCTCTATATATATATATTTAACAATATTATTATATAGTTTAAATAAAAATTTTCTCATTTTATTTTAATTTTTAATTTTTAAAAACTAATGTCTACTTCATATTGTAATAATTTTTTATTTAGATTCTAAATCGAGGTCAAATTTTTTTATATTTTTATATTTTTATATTATTATATTTTCAAATACATGTATAAAAAAGTAATGTTTTCGAAAAGTAATTTTTTTATTTTGTTTAAATAAAGAAATACATGTAATACATCCCCTTAAAGAGAGTAAATGTGTGTGTGTGCGTGTATTGTGTGAAGGAAGTTTTTTAATTAAAATCGAGAATAAAATGACAATGAGAAGTTTTTCTCTTTAAACTTAAATTTTTCGCAGAACGAGTAGGAGAAACTTGAAGATATTATCGATCATTTATCACTATGTTATTTTAAGACTAAATTTACAATTCCGCGTGTATCAAGTATAACTTGATTTCTTTTGCTTTCGTGTCTTATCCTTCGCGTGCCCGAGGTGATGTATTAGGATTTATCTCTATGTGAAAATTAATTCCACGAAGGTGTGTTATACATATAAATCCTACAAATCGTTGAATATGCAGAGATTGCGGAACTGAGAAACGATATGTCATCAAGTAAATCGTGTGCGAATCATTCAAGCGAAAATTATATGATCGAGCAACTTGTCGATTACTATTCAGGGGTACAATTTCAAGTTCGTGAATCACTCGCATTTATTATTACGTTCTTTATAGCATTGAAAGATTTTTATCGTGATATACATATAACGGAAGTGGTTTTTTTATATTATATAAAAATAACAATGACAATGTAATCGCTGATCCAATGTTTAATTACGACTTGTATGTTACTTTTCTAAAAATTTATAACGGAATAAAGACGTATTATTTTGTGGCTTCCTTAAAAGTGAAGCCAAGAGCTGGCTAAAGAATTATCACGACATGTTTTTAAAAATATAATCCGTTTTTTAATCGGACACAACAACACGAAGAATTTGGGACTTTCCAAAAACAACAGAATTTCCAAAAAAATTATTTTATCGCATTTCAAGATTTACATTAGTCAATTAAAATTTTATAATCTCAAAACTACGCGCGAACATGCTTTTTGTTATTTTTAAAAATAAATAAAAAAAACTGATAAAATAAAGAAAATAGATAAAGTAAAGAAAATAGATGTATAAAATAAAATTAAATAATAATTAGTTATTCATAAATGATTAAATAATTAGTTATTTTATAAGTAATTAAGTAATTATCTCATGAGCTTATAAAATTTTTTAAATGAAATACTTAAAGCTTATAAAGTAATTTATATCGAGTGTTACATTATCGTCACAAATAATTATATCATACTTCCTTTTGAATCATACATATCTCGTACGTCCCAACCGTAACCTTTACAATTTATCGTTCAAAACAGCACGTATTCGTTCAAAACACACGTATTCGTTCAAAATAGCAAACTCACGATATTTGCGCATGATATACATATAATGTACGAAGAGAAAAAAATTGATTTACCTTTAAACGAAGCGAGACGAACCGTAGCATTGTTACAATTGAGTTATTAAATGAGACAAGATTAGACCCGTACACAAGCAGTCAAACGCATCATTTTTCTTTGTTGCTTAATGTGGATTTCCGGTATCCTTGGCCGGACAGGAAACCACCAAGCTTCCCGAAAAGGACGATCCTCGCTTCGTAGCCGCGAAAAAGTTTCGTGTCGCAGCAGATAAAGTTTTATCACGCACACAGACCACACACAGCGTGCCCGTGGACTATCGCAATAATGGTTTCCTTGTGTCTGCCAACGGTCAACCTTGTCTCTAAATGTTTACTCAAACGTACGCGAGCGTGTTTAAAATCGTCAGTCCCATCGATCAAACCGATTCACCACCGCTGCGCGCTTCTCTTTCGCGAAGAAAAGTTTTAAAATACGACCGTGATGATTTATCACGCTTTCGCGATGAATTTGTTATCAGAGAAAACTTTGAATGATGTTTTCTCAATTTCAAAATCAAGACATCTGTAATTTACCTAATATTTAAAAAACGGGAAACCGAGAAAGGTCGTAAGCTCAACGCTGAACTTTTGAACTAACGGTAGAACCGCGAATTCGGTCTAAGTGCGGCGATCGATTTTTCGAAAATACCGCGGCGGCCGACTGTATTTTTTTTTTATTTATAATTTGCAGCACGATACACGACACGGCACGGCACGACTCTCACGAAGGTTGTTACACCACTGTCAAAGCGACGGCGTGCAAGCAAACGCCGAGACAGTTTCGCTCCGCGCGGCCAGTCAGCTAGACGCCCCCACTCTCGACACGTCACTACCTCCTGCAGCGTGGATCTACAACAGCATCGCCGGCTGTAACACACTTTGCTGTGTCAGAAAATTCGCGATCGCACATAAGAATTAAGCGGAACTTAGCACTTAGAGCGAAAAGCTGCATCCATGTATGTGGCTTTAACTATATTCAGTCAATCGGCAGCTTTGTATCTCAAAAATTACATCGATTTCTCGAGTAATATCGCTCCTAAAACGCCTCATAATTCATCAAAAGTTTCATTCCATGTGTATCGAAGACAAGCGAAAGATATTATTTCGTTGCACTCCGACATTTTTTATTTGCAAGAATATTTGTAGAAGTCACAGCATGCTTTACGAGATTTATTATAAATTTGCTTATTGCCAACATATTACTTATATTTTCTGTTCTTTATCATTTATTAAAAATTTTTTTTTTAAAAAATCGTATTTTGTAAATTTTTACCTGTTTAAATTTTTTTCCAACGTATAAGTTCCTGCATTGTCATGTGCACCTGACGAGAACATGTGCGGGTATTTACGTGCCAGCTGGACAACTAGCTTGACGTTTGCCTGCCGTTTTATGAGTCATTACCCTTTTGACGTGCGATTCTTATCATCGGCGTGCGATGTTGATTTGCTAATATGTTATATTCCGATAAGTTGGTCAAAGATAAGCCATTAGATAGAAACGGTTAAACCTTGCTCTGTTAGATAATCGCATTTTTAGAAAGTTGTTTAGCAAATTTTACAGCATTCGTGGCTACCACAAAAGTTCACGGCCAATGAGTATTTATTGTAATGCTCAAATAAAGAATCAAGATACAAAAAATAAAAATCTCGTACTACTTAATACATTCCAATATTTAAAATATCGCGTTTTAAGTTGATTATATCAAGAATTTTATTACTTCTAATATAAACAGATTGACAAAAATTATCGTAAAATTATAAGGTAAAGTGAGGTAATTTGAATAGATTAACAGAAATTTTGGTATTATATAAAAAATTAAGATCACACATAGTATATTCAATTATGCGATAAATTTATTAACGTATGAGGAAGATAAAACAAATTGTTGTTCTTAGGGCAATTTAAAAAACGCTGATTATAATGAACCATGACAGTGGCCCAAGGCTATGTAAGCGGCATACTGATTCATTATCGGTATGATTTATCGGATAATTAGCAAAAGGAGGAGCAGGTGATCATTATAACGATCTATTACAGGTCGGCACGAATTCTTTTTATGCCGTAACTTTGTGACTCACGCATCGTATAAAATTGCAAGCGAATCATTATTCTCTGCAAGTGACCTTATTGTCGTGCGCTTTTATGTAAAATTAAATCTGCCGTAGCACTTCAACGACTGTCACACTAGCTTTTTGCTCCAATTTGTGCAATCATCGAACTTTTCTCTCGAGAAACATCAAAGAGTACAAAATGAAGTATCGACAAGCTCTATTCACGTTAACTTTACATAATTGCATGTTGCTCCACAGTTGGAAAATTTATATTAAATTTAATTTAACACATTTCGTATGTCCCAAACGATCTACTCGAATTTCTGTGTTAATTTAACACAGGATGAGTATGTTAAAAAGTAATACAAACACTATGTAAAAATTAACACAAAAAATGTAATATTTTGAAATTTAGAAACAAATTGTGGAAGCATATTTCTTAATAATATTAGCATTGACAATGTATAGTAATATTAATAACATTAGCATTATGTATATTAAAAAAATTTACCTCTATCAAATAATAACATTTGATAGGTACAGCTTATTAACAAACTTTTCATCAAATAATGAAAACAACTTATGAAAAATAAATTTTATTTGAAATTTCAAAAATAAGATAAATTGAATAACAAATTTCAAATTACCATAACAAGTGCAATGCTAGCGATACTATGGAACTAGTGTTCCATGTACTAAACTAACAACTAAAATCAATTTACATATATAATTGTGAAAACAGCGAAAGAATACACAGCAATTATTTTTCCTCGTATACATAGGCCTATTGAGATTCCCATCTGAGTGCTTCCTATAGGTATCTTGCTATCCTTGTTTAACATTTGATGAGCAACAAGGATAAAATGACATCTGGGTACTTGGATAGAAATCTGAACATAGTCCATGATAAAGATGTGATTGGTGAAGTTTAATTTTCATGCCGTTCTCACTTGTTAAAAAAATATTTTGTAATGGTTGGAAATCTTCGGCGGAAATCTGCAATCGGTAGACTTTCGCTGCGAAAGATTCGCTTTCAGAGATTCGCGTTCCATATGAAGAAAGAGCCAGTTGCTTCCTACTTGAAAGTACTTCGCCGACGTGCATCAGCGACCTGCCTTAATGCAACGTGCATATATAATAGCGATTAGTGCGTGCCGGGGTACAATGACTCGGTAAACGGCGGACCGCACGCAACTATTGCATGCGTCTTCTCGAACATACATCGCGTGACAGCATACGTTAAAATAAAAATATTATAATAGTGTGTGTTCGTCTGTGTGTACTTTCATATTTACAGTCTGACCGATAGCAGTAAATTTAGTAAGTTCAGCATTAAAAACGTAAATAGTTGGAAAATTTATGTCAAATTTAATACATTTCACGTATCTCAAACGGGACATCACACAAATTTTTGTGTTAATTTAACACAAGATGAATATGTTAGGAAGTAATACAAATATTATGTAAAGAAGCTAATAATACTGCTAAGAAGCTAATAATAATAATAATAATACAATTTATAAGCAAATTGTGGAAGCAAATTTTTTTCAGTAAAATTAACATTTACAAAATATTAAATTAACATATATTTTATTCATTTATCTTAGAATTTATATTTTAAAGTACATTATTTTTATGTTACTTGTTTACTTATTCATAAATTATATTATTTTAACATTGAGAAGTATTGAAAATCAATTTAATGTATTATATTATATATATATTCAAATGATACAATTATATTAAATTAACATCGCGAAGATGTTAAAAATTCGATACAAATGTTTTAACAAGAACTGATTTTAATACAAAAACAAAATATTTTCTACTGTGTAGAAATAGGTATCTTAGGTATCTGTTTTAAGATACAGAAGCCTGAATGAGTCGAGATCTTAGAATCTTGGTAAATCAAGAATTATTAAAAAAAGTAGTTTGCCGAAGAGTTTCATTAATTATATTATATAGTAATTTTATTTTAATTTACATATTTCCGACATATTTTGTTTTATCTCTAGTAGCGCTATTTATGATAACATGTTTGATGGTTATGAAATATTACTTTGAGCTGTATGAAATTTAATGTATACATTAAGAAGATGAATTTCGCAGTACTGACAATTGTTAGCTCTTCGCATTCCATGATTATTGTTATTAGAAAAGCGGAAGAAATTCATCCGCGTGAATTAATTTCACTCTAATAGTTGAAAGAGCATCCTTTCGTATTTCAACATTGTATTGTACAATCGAAGTTATACGTGCATGTGGGCTGCATTGTGCTTCAGTCGCATTGTTCGTTTGATGCACAGATAGCTAAATACAAGTGACTATACAATTACATTATGTGCCCCTAATGTTATTCTCCACATGAATTCGAATCAATGCAATATAGGGGACTTATCAAGAACCGGTTCGACCAAATATAAAATTCTCTCTTTTATTTACGTTTTTTATTTATCATGTTATTCATCAATCGGTTCATTTTTCACTTAATTGATTGCTTTTAGGAGACAATCGATAGAAATGTTGTTCTATCTTTGTTATTCATTGAATGTTAAGAAGAATAGAACGATATTTATATCAATTGTGTCTCCTAAAAGGAAAGCAGCCATTGTTTCATTAGAAAACTTTCATATCATCAAGACAAACCACCGTTTCATTCTTGAGTTAAAAGTTTTATTTACTTCTCGTCAGAGGCTTCACCAAACTATAAAAGTACCTTCGTATACTCTAAAGATATTTAGATGTTTTTGAAAAGTCTTGCACGTGCGTCTCGCGATTGAGAGGTTGAAAGGATGGTTAACACTGTTGCTTCTTCTTCATCAAACAAGAAGTTTTACTGGAAGGATTTACTTCACTTACTCATCGAATCATACATATTTTCCGGTTTGGTTGTGATGCTACTTGTAGCAATAGTGTTCATTAGATTCAGGGAAACTGGCAGCAAAACTACCCTGAAGATAACAAGCAAAGTTTCTTTGAAGCAGCCGCGTGTAATCGAAATCGTGAAATGGCATCAGCCGATTTGTGTGATACCTGGAAAAGACGTTCTACCGTGTCTTCCTTCTCAGGAAAAAGTTCAGATAGGATACCAGCATTCACGCGCAGAAAAGTCTGACGAAGGCGAGTCCGGCCAAGAATTGGCGGACTTTGACAGAATTCCGGAGTATATCTTAAAAACGCCTGAGATGGATATCAAATGGCAATTTGTCACAAGGAACGAACCGAATAGTTTGATCAGATTAACTCGGAGTATATCCCCCAATATTCCTGACAGAACTCGACCATCGCGAGTATACGTAACAAAGGTATTGGACTTGCCAGTGACTCCTGTTTCGATAACGCATGGATGTTTACCTAATGATCTTCGTTTGTGCGCGGACTATCAACCAAATTTTCCATTGAAGATCATTAAGAAGGAAGAAGACGAGTTAATTCAAAGCAATGATCAAAATTCGACGATTAAAATGCATGAAAAGA